GGTCGAACAATACTTCTTTTATTTTTGTTTCTGGGGCAGTAACATTTCCTAAAACTGTGTCCAATATGAACCCATAATATTTTGCTTTTTGTGTGGGTTCTAGGTGCCCTTTTTCTGCCAGGATGAACCCGCAGTCCCTTAAGTCCTTTAATATTACTAGGTCTCTTATTTTTAATAGTACTTCCTGACTTGGGTGAGCAACCCAAATATTGTTGACATGGTTTCCACAAAATATTCTGCGGGATCTCCAATGCCCTATTAGGGCTTTCATAACTTTTAAAAATATTCATACTGCTTGGCTTAGGCCAAATGGTAATACGCGATAATGATACCAACTTGTTCCAATTACAAAACCTAATAATCTTTGCGCTTTTTCTTCCATTAATATATGGTGATAACCTTCTTTCAGGTCTAATACTATTATCCACCAATTTCGTCCTACCATCCTTAAAAAGGTTGAAAACCCCTCGAATTTGAATGACTTTACAGGTAACATTTTGTTTAGTCATCTTAGATCAATAATCAAACACTATTTATTTGGACCTGACTTCAGCACTAAGAAAATTGGACTTATTTCTAGTAATTGTTTTGGTCTTATCCTTGAATTTGCGACAAGCACTATTGCCTTTATTTCCAATAAATGATTTATTTCTGTCTGCAACCAAGACTGTTGATCCTGTGTGAGTAGATATTGGGGTGGGTCTGGTTGCCTCATTAAATTTAACAATCCTTTCAGAAATAAGGAAATCTCATCCTTTAACCATTTGATTATTAGGCTTGGTAGTTTCACACTTTCTATCCAATACCTTACATGTTCCTTCATATGAATTCGACCCACCACCGGTATTAACTGTTGGCCCGAGTGTAGTCACTCATATTTTGTGTTATCCTGCTCTCTATTCTCATATTTATTTCTGTATGCTGCATATCCCTTTGACTTATACCCATAATATTGGTATTGTTGTTGGTCAGAGGCTTTATTAAGATCTGAGGCACAGGTTCTCGCAAAGTGGCCATAGCCTCCGCAAATGTAATATTTATTTTGCAATGTGATATCATTTTGAGACTGATAGTTGGGACGAAAAAACTTATTTCGGAACTCACTTTGATATTTATTGTAATAGCTTGGTTGATTATTATTTTTTCCCTGTAAGTAACTAGGACTTTTTCCCATACTGTATGTCTTGTGTCGCTTATTTCTTTTCATGTCTACAATAGCTTTCGCTTTCTCAATCAAAGAATCTTTACCTTTCAACCAATCATCTTGCATGTCAGGTAGGGCTAACGCAATTTCCCAACCGAAACTTCTGCTACTGTAATGTGAACATTCTGCTTTTTATTTGCTCCTTTGCAGTGCTCAAATGATTTGTAATATCATCCACTGTCAGAGATTCCATTGCTAGTTCGAGCTCTTTTCCTATAGACCTCAGTGTGTTATACTCGTGTTGATCACGTGCTTTGTTGAATTTATGCTTTGGCCAGACATCTTTTATATCCGCTTTTTGCTGTGTCTCCTGAACTTGAAGTGTTACTGTGTTTAATTTGTTGTCAAAATTCAACATTGCGTTTTCTAACTTTTTAAATTCTAGTAATAATTTCTCTTCTAAAAGAACTGGAGTGTCATCACTTTCATGTAACTTCTTTTTCTTTGCTAATTTATTTGGTTGCGTTTTAGGGTCTTCTTGAAGTTCTTCATCGTATGAGCCAGTTTTTAAAGGGGCATTTTTAGCATATTCAGTGCTT